TAGTTATTGTGACCTGATCAGGTCCACAATCTCCTGAATGAATGTACAGTGAAGGCTAAATAAAAAAGAGGTGAATGGAATGATTTCAGGGCTCCAGGAGGATCAAAGCCTTCTAGCAGAATTTGAGATTCAGGGCTAAGATAGAGACCTTCTCTGGGTGGCCCATATTTATTTAGTTATCAGGAAGGGCAGTATCACTCAAGGACTTCTTTTGGGCTCTGAAGCTCAATACAGCCCGCCTTCCCTCGCCTTGCCCCTGTTCCCTCCTACCATGTAGCCTGCAGCCTGTTTCATCTGGCTGGCTGACTGAAGGCCTGGCTGGAGAGGCCTGACACCGCTGGCTTCTCCTTTCCCTGGGAATGCACACCTAGAAACATGCAGCTATGAAACTGCTGGGATCCAAGTTTTTCCACTCAATTACTTTCAATTTTTCACCTTCTTTTTTCAAACATCCAACACCCTCTTGTACCCTCCCTGCATCATAACCTCCTACATGTAAATGCATAAAACTGCTAACAGCTCTAAGTGCATATTCTAGTCCCACTCCAGGCCTTGTCTGCTCCTGCTGAGTGCCTGCGAGAAGTTCACAGCCACAAAGGCAGACTTTTTGATCATTCTCTGAATTTCCATCTCCAGCCTTGACTCTTACCCTAAGTTTTCTACAGCTGTCTGGCAAATTGACATAGCCACCTAGAAGCCTACTGGATATCCCAAATACTTCACAAGTACAAGTCTTCCACATCTCAGTAAAGAGTACAAAAAACCACCTAGTTCTTTAAACTGATTGTAGAGGACGATGACTCTTAGCATATCATTTTAAGATAGAATAATTCTAGTCTTAATGCAAGCCTCAAAATGTGTCTTGAGTAACATCCCGGAGGGTTATAAAGAGTTAACTTTGTAGTCCTGACTTAGCCCTGGAATGTTTCTCCAAAGACAAAGAACACCAGGGCCCAGATAACCAGCTATGACCCTGCCTGGGTTGTTTTTATCCCTTCCCTGGCCTTAGATAAACATTGCAACCAGAAAGGAAATGTATGGTTATCTAAAGGGGGACATACAGAACAGAGTACAGAAAGTATATATCCTTGTGGTTGGACTCATGACCGGAGGCTGACCCGGTCACGTGGCACAAGGAAACAACATGTGGCCAGGGCTACAATATTCCAATCTGTTACCATGGAAACCAAAAATGTATATAAGCTGGGAACAAAGGCAGGTCCAGTCCTACTTCCCTGACTTGCAAGTTGGGATGAGAGGTGACCGGTCTAAATTAAAACTTTCTCTGTTCTCTTTGGTTTCTTGCAGAATACAGCCCAAATTTTTGCCGGAACATGATAATCAAAGAATAAGCAGACTTTACGCTCTCCACTGACACTACCTAGTTTTAATCACTACCATCTACTTGGACTATTGCTATAGCTATTCCCCTGTACCAAATTTCAATCCATTCTCAATGAAGTACTTGTTTTCTTAAGTGAAAACAGGCACATAAGTAAGACTCAATCATGTTTCAACTTGTGATCTTTTGAGCCATGTAATCCTAGTACCCTGGGAGACTGAGGCAGGAGGATTGCACATTAGAGCCCAGCCTGGGCATCTTAGTAACTTACAAAAGCTTGTCTCAAAATAAAAAATTTTAAAAATATCTGGGGATGCAGCTCAGTGCAGCAGTGTGAAGGCCCTGGGTTCAATCCTCAGCACGACACACACACCACACACACACACACACACACACACACACACACACACAAGCATGTGACTCTTTGAGTACTTTTCATTACACTTGAAATGAAATCTCAACTCTTCACCCTGGTCACTGGTGTTTTATGCTACAAAATTCTGGTCTAGTCTCCAGCCGTTTCTTCATCCTTTCCTTGCTCAGACAATGTGTATCCTTCAGCCTCCTTGCTGTTTCGGTCACCTCTCCCCTCTTGCTCTTGGTGCCTCTGCCTCAGGAATTCTCTCTCCTTTGCCAACTTCTGTTACCCTTGTTACAGCCCACTGGGCCCAGCACCACCACAAACAGGGCTTTTCTGGCCAACCTGTGTCTGAGATCAGCATCCTCCTCCGCCAGACTGGTTTCGTCTCATCACTGCATTTATTTTATTCACAGCAATTATCTGTTTTAATTTTTTTCTTGTCTATATGTTTGTTTTTATTCTGAACTGTAAGCCTCATTAGGGCTCATTCTGCTCAGAAGTCCAGCACTTGTGACATGAGCCATGAATATTTCTTGCAGAAATTAATGATGTAACTTAAGCTCCTGTTAGACTTTGGGGACCTCACATCTCTGATAATCCCTAACATTTTCCCACCAGCCCTGCTGCCAGCCAGTTCATCTTTGTCTTCTTGCCAGCCAAGCCCAAGGCGTTCTGCTTCTAATCATGCTTACTGCGGGTGAAGAGATTGTTTGGAAGGCAGGATGAAGTCAACTTCCTGAATATGTGAGAGTAATATGTGGATGTGGATGTTCTGTATGATGTGTGTTCACTAGTTAAGCTTCTATTATAAGATAGTACCGTGTTAGAGACAAACATACATAAGATACGTATGTCTGTATTCTACATGTGGAATTATGCATAGATCTATATTTTCTTTTAAATATACATATATAATACATACACATACACATATACATATACATATATTCTCCCCAGACCTAACCAGCCATCAGAATCATCAAACGGGGTCAGAATCTGAGGCAGACTAAACAAATCAATGAGAATTTGGATGCAAAGAAAAGCTGTAAGAAGTGTGTTCCAATCTTTTTGTATTGGTACATTTCAGATACACATACTGATATTCATCATGGGGAATTTGTGTCTGTGTGTAACATAATTTGCTACTTCTTTCTGTCCCATTCCCCTCCCCTCTTTTACCCCCTTTTCCCTCTGCTTATTTGCAAAGGCTTTGTTTCCATTTTTTCCTTCTATTCTTTTTTTCTTGTTCTTTCTTTCCTTCATCCCTTCCTACTCCCTCAATCTCCTTCTCATCTGAAAATTTTGTTCCCATTTCCCAGTATCTATTATGAATTTGGTCATTATTTACATTTTTGATTTCTCATACCAGGGAATCAATGCAGTGTTTGAACATGTGTGTCTGATTTATTTCTTTCAAGAGTATGGTCTCAAGGTACATCCATTTAGCTAGAAATGTCTCAAGTTTATCCATGTCATACTGAGATAACTGGAGACTATACTCATAAGTGAAATAAATCAGACCCGCATATGTAAACATTGTATTGTCTCCCTAGTGTAAGAAGCTGAAAGAGTAAATAAAACCAAAAATATACAATAGATACTGTGAAAGGGAAAGAAATTGCTCAAAGGGAAGGAACAACTGAAATGAGAGTAAGGGAAAAGAAAGAAAAGAGGAAAAAAATATATATGTATATACAAGGATAGCTGGGATAGTTGCACTGCTGATGTCTACTGGTTTATTGAAAGGAACGGTTAATGCTTAATTTTTTTTCTTGACCAGTGTTGCATGCTTATATCTGGTAATCTGAACAACTAATATGAAGACAATAATATGCAATATATAAACCATTGTTGATTTCCTACCACTCTGTACCGTTTCTAATGCTTTTCAAATTACTTTTTATTCTCTTTATTTGATCAGTCTTGTATTCTTACATCTGGTAATCTGAGCAACTTTGTTGAAGATAACAATATGTAATATAACAAGCATTGTTAATTCCTGTCATCTTGTTTTGAAATTCTGTATCATTTTTATTGTTTTTGTGTTGTTTTGTTTTTGTCTTTCCTCTGATTTCGTTATTGTTCCTTTTTCTCTTTAAAATCAAAAAAATCATACAATATAAAATTACTTGCTTTAAAGAATCCAGTTAAGTGCCTGTTAGGATGTTCACAATGTAGTGACACATCACCTCTATCTAGTTCTGAAACATTTTCACAACCTCACAGGAAGCCACACACTTTCAGGATTCACCATCACCCTCTCACCTCAGCCCCTGACAACTGCTGTCCTGCTGTATGTATATGAATTTACTTTCTCTGGCGCTTCCTGTGGATAGAATCAGACGATATGTTCTCTTTTGTGGCTGGCTTCTTTCTCTTAGCACAATACTGTCTAGGTCCATCCACCTCGGAGGAAGTATTAATTCCTCAGTCTCTGAGGATCGAATTCATAGCTATATGTATATTCTGTTTTATTTACTTTTCACCACTTAGTGGACGTTTGCTTGTTTCCAGCCTTTTGGCTATTTTGAATAGTGCTGCTGCCACGAACATGTACGCATAAGTATTTGCTTACGTACATGCCTCAGTTCTTTTGGGTATATATTTAGGGGTGACACTGCTGGGTTTCAGGATGCAAAGCAGGCTTCAAGCCTTTCCAGCATTGTAACAGAATTTCCAAACATTTATTAAGTGTCTGTATCCTTTTAAGCGGCAAACGAGAGTCACTAATTAGGTATGCTGAAGGAAAATTCGATTCATTACAAATTATCTAGGAGCCCAACGCGCCGTTCTGGCTGTGGAGAATCAATCTTGCTCAGGGAACTTAGGAGCCTGCGCTCCTCCATGACGAGGCCGCCTGTCATTTAAAACTATGCACACCTGCGCAGGCGAGTCTTTTACATGTGAGTAGTACATGGACCGAAGACTTTTTTTTTTAGGAACTCATTTGCTGTAGACTTCAAAATCTGTCTTCTTTGCTTGCACTTTTATATATTTTACCAGAGCTGAAGTTTAAAATGATTGCGTGCAGGGGCTGGGGATTTAGCTCAGCGGCAAAAGCGCCTGCCTGGCAAGCGCAAGGTCGTGAGTTCGGTTCCCGGTACCGGAGAAAAACAAAAAAAACAACAAACAAACAAACAAAATGATTGCGTGCAGCATCCAGCGGCCGCAGAGCACAGCGGTGGAGGCGGCGGCGGCTCCAGGCAGCGCGGCTGTGGCTGAGCGGCGTCCGCGGCGCTGGGGCCGGCCGGCCTCCGCCTCGAGTGCGGGACGCCGCCGCCTCCCGGGCAGGGTCTTTCCGCGCCCGTCTCCAGTGCCGACGCCGCCTCTTCTCTGGATGGCAGCGCTCCTGAGCTGAGCTGCAGCGGGGAGCTGGGGACTCCCGGGCTCCTGTGGAAACAAAGCGAGAATCAAAGGAAGCAGAGAATCAAGGGCAGCAGCCTCGGTGGGCCGGAGGCGGAGTCTGCAAGTGAGCACCCGCTCTCCCCGAGGCCTGCGGGGGCGGAGCCGTCCCCGGAGCCGGGCGGGGCGCGGAGGTGGGCTCCCCGGCCTCCGCACCGTCCCTCGGGGGTGAGGACGCTGGCGGGGCCGGTGGTGTGCCGGCTGGAAATGCCTCCTCCGTGTGTGCGCGCGCGTGTGTGCATATGCGTGCGTGCGTGTGCGCGCGTATGTGTGTGTGCGCGCGCGTGTGTGTGAGCTAGAGAGGGAGCGCAGGGCGAGGCATGTCACTCTCACCCTTCCATGTATGGACTTCGGATTTTGCTCGTGACCCCAGTCTGTCCTCAGTACAGTGTGTCCACCCGAACTTTCAGGCAAACGCCGGCTCCTGCGACTGAGAACGTCTGTGAAGTGCGGAACCCTGAAGACCCTGAAACGGAGGTCAGCAGGGATGTGTAACATAAAATCTGTGCTGACGCAGCCCGAGAGAAGTGGGAATGAACGCACGCAGGGCCGCGTTAGCGATATTGGACGTTTCTCTCAGACTTTTCCCTGACAGATTTTAATACTGTCATTACTTTAATTTGTAAATTTCCTCTGAGAAAAGAAAACTAAAAGTCTATATTAAATAATTTGTGTAATGAGCTCCACACACAATTTTGAAAGAGATAAAATTGCCTTGTGGGGCGGTGGCCTTTGCTTTTGGTGGATTTCTTCTGTACTCCTGTTAATACCTTTGAGCTCTAATTGTCAAAACTGGAGAGTGGGAGGGGCAAAGGAAAGAAGGGAAACGAAAAAAACGAGTAAAGAAGGATAAAATGGAAACACTTTGTAAATAAGGAGGGGAATGGGAAGAAAAGAGGAACTGAGACATCGTGTACGGGTACAAACTCCTCTTGGTGAATGTGATCGGCATGTGTATCTGCACTGTACCAGTAAACTTAAAAAAAAAAAAAATGAGCTGATGAGCTCAATCTGCTGAGATATAAATGACTACACACTGATTCCCAAGGGTTAAATCTTAAGCCAACATTTAAAAAATTCTGATGCTGAAGTTATAAACAAAGTCACATTTAAACTTAAAAATAGTAGAAAGTGATTTTGCTCATGATTTTGTCACAAAATATAATGACTGGTGATTTTGTCACAAAATATAATTTCCATGAATGAAATACCTTGTTCAAATATTTAATTTGTAAATTAATATATCCCAAATATTCCCAAGTCTATTCATTTTTTAATTCACTTAAGATTTTATGGTAAGCCAAAGCCATTTTATAAAAATCTTTTACCCACAGTGAAATGCATGTGATAAAATATAAATGTACATTTAAATTCATTACAGCAGTATTTGTGATAGCAAAAACCCCAGCAACAACATAAATGTTCATTCCCAAGAGACCTGTAAAATGGTTGAAATACCATGCAATCTGTGGCGATTTTAAAACTTGCAATAAAATACACATAGCACAAAATTTACCATGTTAGCCATTTTAAAGTGTACAATTCAGTGATATATAACAATTTCAAAATGAGTTGATCTGTGTACAATAAAATGATAAAACTCTCCAAGATTCATTGTTAAATGGAAGATATACAGTGCAGAACAGTATGCCTTGAATGAATTTATCATTTTCCTTTGCCTTTTAATTTTGTATTTGAAATATGTTTTAAAATAAGTACTATAGCAAACCATAAACCTATTCCTGAAGCTAGCAATTCTCAGTATTGGCCATATTTCCTTCTGTGTATGTGTGTGTGTGTGTGTGTGTGTGTGTGTGTGTGGAAGGGGTGTGCATGTAAAAAAATTCAGTTAAATTTGAAGTCATTTTGTTCATCTCTAGTCTTTTGCACCTTAACTGCCTCTTAAAAATCACGAGTTTAGCCCCCATGTATTTTATACTTTCTAAAATGCACTTATAAGTATAGGGATACAATGTTATGTGGGGGTTTTTCAATGTTATGGGGTTTTTTTGGTACCAAGAATCGAACTCAGGACCTTGCACTTGTGCTGCTGAGCTCTATCCCCAGCCCCAATGTTATGCTTTGAGCCTTTAAAAATTTGCATAAATGATAAAACCTGTTCAGCGTGCTCTCTTCTGTCACTCTGAAGCTCTTTTCTTCGGTGGACAGTGTTTCTGAGTGTGAATTCTAGCTCTGCTGTTGTGAGTGGAATATGTAGATGCCCTTGTTTCCACAGACAGCTTCCTGGTGGCAGACGGATGCAAGACGCTGGGACCAGCGCTCACACTTGCAATCAGTAGGAAGGTAGCGCTTTGGCACACTCTGAAGAGTTTGAAATTTTACCACCATTTGACAGTTTTGTAAATAAACAATTAGATTAAGGTAAAATGTTGGTCCTGTCCAATATAATAATATAATATCTCATGGCAGCCTACGTAGGTTAGATGCTTTCTCTATGACAACTCACCAAGTTACTACGTGGAACGGAACTGCAAGGGACATTGTGCATTACGATGACAACAGCAGAACTTTTAGAGATTTTATAAGTTTCAGCAGTCGGGGGCCGGGTGAGTGAAGGGTTGTGCACAGAGGGTTAGCTAACAGAGCTGAGGAAACCCACAGGACATCTACCTGCCAGGACTGCAGGGGTAACTGACAGGCCCACACATTATATCTAGAGAGGAAATAGACTGAGAATGTGATCTCAGGTCCTAGTTTTGTTGCTAGCAAACACATTTGTGACCAATTCACTTAACTCTCTCATTTTAGTTTTTTCTCATCAATAAGATGAGAGACACAGGGCCAGGGATACAGCTCAGTGGCATAAGCGCCTGCCTGGCAAGTGCAAGGTCCCGAGTTCAATTCCTGGTACAAAAAAAAAAGATGAGAGAGCACAAATTTCTCATTCATTCATTTGTTCATTCATTCATTCAGTCAGTGTTGACTAAGCCTGCAGTAGGCATCTGGTGTACCAGGCACTGTTCTAGATGCTGGCAGCAGAAAATGAACAAAAGGGAACCCCTCCTTCCCTCCAGGAATTGCTGGCACCTTCTAGAGGCTGCAGGACATTCCAAACCCAGTCACCCTCTTCCAGAGCCAGGCAGACTGCCTGGGCAGATTGTTGGAGCCTAGATGGCAGCAAATAGAAGCTTTATTTCAGGGGTCTCAGAGAAGTCCTGAGATGCAAAGAGAAAGATCCCACTTTTCTTGGAGTCAGGAAACTTTGCTTCAGCTGAGGAGCAAGAGATAAATTAGAACTATGAAGAAGGATATAACACAAGAGACAAAAAGAGGATATTTGATTCTTTTCCCTTGAGTCACATTAAATACTGTGAAATTTAATCTGTATCCTAATCATTTATGCCTTGAAGTCTCCCCTTTTTAGTGTATGAACTTTAAAATGACCAACCACGTAAAGCCTGTAACAGTGGTTCATATGGAAAACAGTGTCACTTCTGGAGGAAAAATCTCCCCTTTCACAATGGTTTTGTCAAGGTGGCAGCTTGGAGACCTCAGGAGCGACGTGAGGAAGGTCCCCATGTGCTGCAGGCAGATGGCTTTCAGGGGGCCACCCTCAGGCTCCTCGATGGAGGATTTACACCCCAGAAAAAGACTTGACGAAGGTCCAAGATATTTGGAAAAACAGATTCACCAGTTGACCTGGGATTGGGTTATAAGGCCCACTTATAAAAGTAAATTAATAACTTGCAAAATAGGAATAATAATAACTACTTCCTAGGCTTACCTTGGAGAGTAATAAATTTTAAAATATATGAATATATAGCATATGCTCTAAAGAACTTAACTTCACAAACATGAGACTACTGCTACGGTTCTATTTGGGGTTCTGAAAGGTATAGACAATGTGCTTTGCAGCAGCTGGTTCACTTCTTGGCTCATGAAATGGTATCACCAGTCCAGCTGTTCTTATCTCCTCGCATCCTCTGCACAGTCACCTACCCCTTGCCCACTGGTGAGAAGGACTGTCATTCCTAGAAGGTACATTATGTGACCTTCAACAGAGGTCTGGGGACATTTGGGGAACATGAATTTGACAAAACCTAGGAGTGAAATGTAGATGGGTATTTAAATCAGGAACATGCACACACACGTGCATGCACACACACACATGCACACACATGCACACACACACACACATCGCAGAACCCCAAAATGGGCTCTGCCACATGAAAGTCAATGAGTTAGAATCACTGTTTCCCTCGGGCCCTTCTCTATTGTTCCTAATCGCAGCAAATACATCGCCATGAGCGTCTGAAATTTGAAAAACCTGTATTCAAAGTCTTCTAAGATAATAGTGCTGTGATGAAATTTGCCTACCTCTTAAAAAATCCTTAGAAATTGTGTTACAGATAATACAGTACTTCAGAGCTCCCTATGTAGCAGAAAGGGGGCATCTGCAATCACAATCAAGCAAAGTAATTTTATAACCCAATACAGTCAATAGCCTCGAAAGATTTTCCATTACCTTATGGACACATAACTCAAATTTAATAATTTCTAGTCATTATTTAAATGGGAGATTTGAGTATATTACAATTTAGGTGATGTTTGTATGAAAAGAAAATTTTGGATTTTGTACTTACTCAGTCTAAAAGGAAATTATGGGGCACTTCTCTGTGTTTCCCAGAAGAAATGGAATAAAACAAATGGAAAGAAAAAAAATAGAGATGATGAAAAATGGGAAAATCATAACTTGACAAGGACAAGTTGCCATGATTCAAGCAGTGGCTTTGGCTAATTTGTGAGACAGAATCTTGCATGTGCTGGAGAGCACACTCTTCTCTTTAGAAAAAAACTTGGAAGTAAATGGCACCCTTTGGTCCTCTTGGAACCTTAGGTGATGTGGGGATAAACACAAAACCCAAGTGTTGATGTCAAAGGGAACAAATTTCTAGAAGAAAGTTCTGGGGCAGGCCAGCACAATTCCTAGAAAATATAAAGGACAACCCCTCAGAACAAAACTCTGGCTCCCAGTCAGCAGGGAGGGGACAGTCACCTCAGCCCAGTCACTAACAAATGGGACAGAGTCATTATCCAGTGGTCAAGCAGGAATGTGCATTTTTCTAAGCACAAAAATTAAAGTTTCTGGATTTCCCCCCCCCCCGAACGATTACTCTGTTGACAGCCCCCTTGGATTTATTTCTCCTGCTACACAATATAGTCCCTCAAAGACACACAAGGCTGAATCCAGAGCTGGTCAACAGGCTTGGTTATTAACTGTGGTTACTAACTGTGCTTGATTATTAACTCTTTGTTGAGATAATCCTCCCCATTTAAAATTTGTCTCAACTTGAATTTAAAGCTCTCCCTCCCCTCTCCTCCTTGCCCAGCACAGATTAGCTTGAGCCACCAGAGGATTGGATGGGAAAGTGGAGAAGGGTATGGGTTAGGGAGGCTGAAAATGGAAAAAATATTTTGTCTTTGTGAAGCTATGCAGAGAAAATTAATTTCCCTTTTAGTATCAGTGGGGCCAGCCCTTCTTCCATGGTTTGAAGCTATTGTTCTTATTCTTTTGCTGAGGAAATTTCATTGTCCAAGAATCTAGACATACCACAAACACCTTTCCTAAGCCCCAGAGCCCAATTCTAGAGCCTCTGCCCCAGGCATACACCCGAAATTTGGTGACAGTCGTGTCATTTCTCTCCCAGGATGTGCTACCAAGTCAGCCTCCTACTCCCACTTGGAAACACCAAAGCTTGATGTGTCATTAAGCTTAATGGCGAAGCAAACAATATGGGACCTGAGAGAACTGTTTTCCCTTTTTACACAAGCCTGCTGGTCCTAAAACTGATTGTCTTAGATGGAGAATCATTGGAGACCAATCATTGTCTTAGATGGAGAATCATTGGAGACCAATCATTGGTCCTAAAACTGATTGTCTTAGATGGAGAATCATTGGAGACCAATCATTGTCTTAGATGGAGAATCATTGGAGACCAATCATTGGAGACCAATCAGTGGAGCACCAAGGTCAGGGTGGAGAGAGGGTTCCGCCCTTTGCAGATAATAAGGCAATGTATGCACTGTAAAAAAATTAAAAACAGTAATAAAACCAACTGAGTCAGTTTTAAGAAAACATCATGATACACCAACAAATCTAAACAATGCCAGTGAGGAAATACTTCTTCCTATAAATATCTTTTGTTGGCCTCAGGTCTAATTATGGTTATTGTTTGTATACGCACTTCAAATGAATATGTTTTATTTCCAATCTTTGATACCAGTCCCATTTCACAATAAGTTCTAGTAATTGCAATACCAAGCATGTCTGGCACAGTTTTTCTTTAGGATCTACTTTAGCAGCTTCTAATTATCTCCTGTCCAAAAAAAAAGTTTCACAAAAAGATTTTTAGCAGCAAACACATAGATATTTATATTTTTATAAAAATTTTTCAAAGTTTTTCTTCAGTCACAAAAATCAGAAACATTATTTGATCCTTTGCTTTAGAACCCTTGCTAAGAACAAGAAAGTGGTTCAGTCCAGTCTTTTTTGTATCTTCCTAGTAGTATATGGCCAGCATCTTTTGTTATTTCTCCTGGCATTTTTCTGCAGAATTTGATTATTTTTTTTTTCTCCATAAACATCTTTTTGTTTCTCCGTAAACAAACTTTCTCCGTGAACAAACTTTTGTATGTTGGTGGAGAGGAAATCTTTTCGGCCAACAATTTAGGCTTGAATGGTTGGGAGTCTAAGGATTAACTGATCATACATGTGGGTGTATACTTTAGAGAGAGCAGTCCCCTGAGCATCTATGGATAAAGGTTTCTGTATCAGTCGTTAGGGTTTCAGAGAATGAAAGATTCTGGTGAAGCTTTTTTGCACAATTTCTTTTTGAATACCCCGCTGTCCAAGGTCACTGCCTCCTCAAATTATCTGCCTCCTTGACCAGAGACTTTCTTGGGGTGTGGCGCTGAATGGCCTATAGCTCTGTTTTAGGAAGAGGAAGGAAGTCCAGTGAAGAGTTCTCCCTGCACCTGCTCTGGCCCTGCTGTTCTCACCTGGAAGCCGTTTTTGTAGGTTTGGTGTTATGTGGCATAATTACAGTATTTTTGGGAATGTCTGTGTCTTGATCTTTAAACAATAAATGTAAAGGTGGTCAGTTCACTGTACGCTATTCCAGGCTGAGTTTTGACTATTTGCAAATATTTGGGGATCTTATTAACAATGTCATGGAAACTTCACACCAGAGAGATGACTGAGAAAAAAATTTCATGCAGCGAAGATGAATTTGCACGAATCTTCTTAGCGTCACATTTTATTTTGGAGGGTATAATACTCTGAATGTTGAAATTAACTTTTCAGATTCATTTTGACAGTGTAGCTCCATAATGAACACACCATCCAGGTTGGGCCTGTTTTTCAATGCTAGATACACATTCTGCAGTTTTTCCCACCAATAAGGTGTGAATTAAATGAATGAATA